AACTTTAACTTCATAGTATAATCATTTAGAGGACCATATGTTCTCACTACATTCCGAAACTCTCTTGCATTGGCCGAAAGAGTTGCCCGACCTCAAACTATGGATTCCACATATTTGTCTCGACTAAAAATTCTGGAAAGGGATAACCAACCTCTTCGTCCAATGAACAATTCAATAATAACTCCTCGAATGATGGATATTCCAAATCTACATCTCCCACCTCTCCTACAAGCATCACTACTCCTTCATTTCCAGCTTCATTCATGTCAGATCCAACTTCGATTCCATGTGTTACATTGTGGTCGTATAATAAATCATCTTCCTCCGAACCTATGTCTGCCTCGGAAAAAAAGAAATCAGGGTTTTCCTCGTAATTTGTCAGCAAATGAAAATAATGGAATGATTTATTAAATGTATAAGATGTGAAATATGACATGAGATTGTCTGAAATGTAAATTCAATAAACCATTTATACATTTCAAAAACATAATCTTTTAAATAATAGCACAACGTACAAATGGAATGCTGCCTTCTCTAAGAGTAGCAATGCCCGCCATTTTCAACTAACAAGGAGATAAAATAGATCCAATGCCCACCATCAAATACTTTATTAATTAGCAAATTTACCTCATTTTATTGCATTGATTTATTTGTCAACATTAACATTTTTTGCACAGCGGAAATTGACGAGTAAATAAACATTATTATTCTAACTTTAGTGACAAAGGCAGCCAATCACTACATTCTACCCACTTTCTGATTTTTGTTCCTCAACCACATATACCAGCATTGCAATTTATAAACATTTTTTGCTATTTACTCATAATTTGAAATAAGATTTATATGGTAAATTATTGACATCACATTAAATCGAATATGCCGAATGATTTATCTCTATCTGCTCCATCTGTTGACCTCGAAAATTGGTCCTTCCACGTAGCCAACTGAAAGCTACTCCACGTATTCCTCCCTGCGCACAATCAGCAAATAGTCAGGCGCACACGGTCGGAACCAACAGGGGTGGTGGCGGCCGTATACACTCCGACGGTCATGTTAGGTTTGGGTGATCGAAATAGTACCCAGGGGGTATGCAAATCAATCAATAAAGGAGGAGGAGAAAATATATAAACTTGTTATGGAGTGCTGTGTATTAAGAGTTTCATTACCTTTGCCTCTTGCCAAACCTTGGATATTTATAGGTGGTATGAACCGTTGGATGTGAAACGCGTGTATACATCTGACGGTATAAAGCGTCTGCTCATAGACGTCAATCAATTACGTTTGTAGAGTGGGCGGATAGTTTGTTTCTTCTGAGTTGAATTGACATAAAGTTGATAAGTCACATCAACTAGCCTCACGGAGACGTCAAATCAATTTAAACATTAGGTATATGACAAATCTCAAATTGGCGGCGGATCTTCCAACCGGGGTCCACTTGATCTCGACCTCGGAAGTGAGATATATCACTTCAGAGAAGCTTCGAAAGGGTCGTTTTCAGGTCGGAATAAGTGGTGCTGCGGGGGGTCCACTTGATCTCGGCTCGGAGG